TTTTTTTTTTTTTTTATCTATGGAAATGGCGAACAGGTTGCTGCGCTGGATTCGCTCCCCACTAATCAGGTTAGGGATGGTTGGTGGGAGGGAACCATGGTTCTCCCACCTTTTTTTGAATTTTTTTTTGAAATCATTGGAAATGGGGAACCACATTGCTCCCACCTTTTTTCGTTTTTTTTTTCTGAAATGTATGGAAATGCCGAATAGGTTGCTGCGCTGGATTCGATCCCCACTAATCTGGGTAGGGATGATTGGTGGGAGGGAACCATAGTTCTCCCACCTTTTTTCGTTTTTTTTGTTGAAATCTGTGGAAATGAAGAACAGGTTGCTGCAAATAGATTCGATCCCCACTAATGTACGTAGGGATGATTGGTGGGAGAGAACCATTGATCTCCCACCTTTTTCCGTTTTTTTTTTGTGAATCTATATGGAAATGGTGAATAGGTTGCTTCGCTGGATTCAATCCCCACTAATCAGGGTAGGGATGGTTGGTGGGAGGGAACCATAGTTCTTCCACCTTTTTTTGAATTTTTTTTTGTTTCAATCTATGGAAATGGGGAACCACATTTCTTCCACCTTTTTTCGTTTTTTTTTCCTGAAATGTATGGAAATGGCCAATAGGTTGCTGCGCTGGATTCGATCCCCACTAATCAGGGTAGGGATGGTTGGAGGGAGGGTACCATAGTTCTCCCACCTTTTTTCGATTTTTTTTTTTTTTTAATCTATGGAAATGGCGAATAGGTTGCTGCGCTGGATTCGATCCCCACTAAGCATGGTACCAGGATGGTTGGTGGGAGGGAACCATAGTTGTCCCACCTTTTTTTTTTTTTTTTTTTTTTAAATCTATGGAAATGGGGAACCACATTTCTCCAACCTTTTTTCGTTTTTTTTTTTCGGAAATGTATGGAAATGGCCAATAGGTTGCTGCGAATGGATTCGATCCCCACTAATGTGGATAGGGGTGATTGGTGGGAGAGAACCATTGATCTCCCACCTTTTTTTTTTGTTTTTTTTTTCCTGAATCTATGGAAATGGCGAATAAGTTGCTGCGCTGGATTCGATCCCCACTAATCAGGGCAGGGACGGCTGGTGGGAGGGAACCACAGTTCTCCCACCTTTTTTCGTTTTTTTCCTCAAATGTGCGGAAATGGCAAATAGGTTGCTGCGCTGGATTCGATCCCCACCAATCTGGGTAGGGATGTTTGGTGGGAGGGAACCATACATTTCCCACCTTCTTTCGTTTATTATTTTTTTAAATCTATGGAAATTACGAATAGTTTTGTTGCGCTGGATTGGATCCCCACTGATCCGATCGAGAGAGAGAGAGAGAGAGAGAGAGAGAGAGAGAGAGAGAGAGAGAGAGAGAGAGAGAGAGAGTGGGAG